TATAGGTATAACGAACATGCTATATAACGGATTTTTTTGGCCAGCCCGGATTTCCGTTATATCGATAGTTGACAGTATCTTAAAATTTACTAGCTAACTTATTTCTTAATATGTTAAACAGACAAATTTGCCTACAAAATCTAGTTTTAAAATAAAATTTAACAATATAACTTTTTAAAGTTTATATTTTTTTGTAATTTATTATAATTTATAATATGAAAATTGATTTTCTGAAGATTTTTTTTGTTATTTTTCTTAACACCTAGCCTATATATATACTCAAACTAGTTTGCAAACTTTAAACCAAACTTTTAATTATATTTAAATTAAAGTTAAAATTTAAAACTAACAAAACTTAAAGTTTGTATTTAGTTTGAAATCAAACCAAACCCGAATTTAACCGGACCTAAAAACCCTAAATACAACTACTTTAGTTAAATTAAAAAATAATTATATTAAGACCTAACTATAAATATTACTTTTAAATAAATATCAAATCTGTTTATTAACTCATATATTATATTTAAAAAGGTTTAAAATAATTATTTTAATAAATATTATAAATATTATAAACCTTCTAATAATGTCCTAAATATTTTATCTAATTCTTTTAAAGCTTGAATGTCTTTCTATAAAAAGGGGTAAATTAATATATATATATATATATACTATATCAAAACCAATCTACAAACCTCAAAAACATGATTATTTTCACATGCTAACTTTAACAAATAACATATTTTCTGCAAAGTGGTCTTAAGCAATCCAATATTTTTTTTAAACTCATCGCTTAATGTTTCAGCATCTATAAACAAAAATCAAATTGTTATTAAAAATATATATATATATATTTTTTAATTCTAGAAAACACCAATAATTACCCTTTTGTTCAAGTTGAATTATGTGATACCAAGAAGTTGCTACAGATTTTAATATTTGACCCTCATATTGTGCTATCCTTATTTTCAAAATAATTAAATGACTAAATAAATGACTAGATAAATACTATAATAGAAATATATTATATTGGCAATCTGGATTACCTTGGCCAACATTTGGTGATAACCATTTCTAATCCTTTTGCAGCGCTTATATGTAAGTCAAGAATTTCTTCATTGTTCGAAATAATTACAAAAATTTCCAGGGTAGTACAGAGAGCTTGTATCAAGTCCTTTTTGTTCATAGCAGTTATGGCACACGCGAATTTTAAAGGTAAAAAAACCAAGCATATTCACAAACATTAGAATCACCTGCAGGTACTTTACAGTCACAATACCCAGCTCCTCACAAACTTTTGGTATTTGTTCCAGAAGGACTCGACGTATTACTAGCTTGTCTCCAGAGAAGGTCAATCCCTTGACAATATTGTCAGACAGGATTTTATCATATTTCAAATATCTAGACTCAGTGCCTATTGGTTCGATCAACGAAACCAAGGAGATAATTGTCGAAAAGCTTACACGTATTAGAGTCGCGTATGATATTTCATCTAGATAAGTAAGGCACTTAGATAACGCCTAAGGAATCATTGAACATATTAGTGAAATGCTTATTCACTAATATAACTAACAGTTATAGATACAAGCCTCATAAAAAACTTCTCCAAGACCTGTACGTTGAAATGTTTCAGAATCTACTAATTTTAATAGGCGCTCAAGTATAGAAACACCACGGGTCTTTAATTTCACATCATAATCGTCAATAAGAGACAATATTGGTGGAATAACGAGACCAAGTATTGATTCGACTTCAGAAGGCTATAATAAAGTACAAAAGATTAAATGATGGTCCAAGAAAGAGCACTATACGATTTAAAAAATACACCTTCGTTTGAGAAATGCACCAATGAAGTATACTAGTAGCTTGCATTATTTCAACCCTCCACGACTCATCCATATCTTCAAAGTTCAATACGCGTTTCTTTAATTGTTTTCCACTGCTCAGTTTAGCATTCTGAACCTTTGAATTCTTTAGAAACACTGGTTTTACAAAACTTTCCAGGATTTTCGATACTCCCCAACCGGAACTTAGAAGTTTCTCTGCTAATTGAGCACCTTGATCTTCCATTTTTCTCACGTTGCAAAAACCCCACCAAAATTGTTATTGCTTGTGCAAGTGATACAAATAATTGTTATTGCTTGTGCAAGTGATACAAATCTCATGGATCAAAATGTGATCATTAACCAATCAAATCAGTCACTAAAATTTGAATTAAAGAGCTTTATTTTTCATATGCTAAAACCGATTAAAACCGATTTTAACATATGAAAAATAAAGCCGGTTCCAAATTCTAATTCGAATAAGTGAAATAACGATAAATGATTTATGGCTAGGGAAGCTTTATTTTTTAATTATTACTGTATTATAGCAAATATACTGTAAATAGGATCGGAATTTAGGAACCTCTAGCATAACTGCTCAAATCATTTACGTAATCGGTGCTTAAAAATAATGACTGCTACTCAGCACTAAATGATTTTATGAATAATTTCCTTAATTTTAGGTAATTTTTTATAAACATACACCCTAACCCTAGAATCCGCAAAAATACCGTTCTTGAAGGATCGTCGGTGCTGTTCGTTCCTGATAGGGCCTAAAAAAAGTGCCTCTAAAATACTATACTTGTTGGCAAAGTTATAAACATTCAAAATCCCACCCAAATCCCAAAAATATAAAATTGTTCCAAATCCCAAACATAATAAAATTTGTTCCAAAACCAAACCCAAAACCCAAATTCCAATAGTTTTTGCCAACAAATATGGTGTTCGAAATTTCAGACTCAAAATACTGTTCTCATGAGAACAGTACAATAACTATAGGCGTTCTCAAAATATTGTTTTATGTTCGCAACAACAACAATAAAAAAAACTCTATTAGAAGATACATATGGATAAGAACACTTATTATTTTACTGCTCACAAAATTTTTAATAGTGAACAGTAAAAATTTATATTGTGCACAAATTCATCACATCTACTATGTCCAAGACTTTTTTTGCCCATGTCCACGTCCAAATGTCCACAGTGTCCACAATTGTCCAAAGAATATTTAGGCTTTAAAATTTAATAAATTAATTTAAAAAAGACATGATTATATAGTTCTGAATATTTTTGCTTAAAAGATTAAAATATAGATTATCTTAATAAAATTTTGAGTAATTTAAATTTGTTTTCTTGTCTAAAATTGTCCAGAGCTGTCCCATGATAACACTGCTGGTTATAACGATAAGTTATACGTATTTAATAATACTATAAGCAATTGATGTACAGTCAGACCTCTCTAAATGCACGTCGTCGGGACCAGCTCTAGCACGTGCATTTAGAGAGGTGTTGCATTTAGGGAGGTAAAAATCTATATATGTAATATTAGTTGGGCCCAAAAGAAGACGTGCATTTAGAGAGGTGTTGCATTTAGAGGGGGTGCATTTAGGGGGGTCTGACTGTATATAATAAAAAAATCCACAAAATGGACTTAAGATAAAAAATTTATATATGTTTATATTTGAAGATCATTATTTAAAGAATTTAAAGATGAGACACCTCATATATTTAAATGATTTAAACCTATCTATGCTTTAATGTTGGAAGTATCAGTATAGATTGATAAATTCTTACGTGACAATCGGATAGTTTGGATTATTAGAGATGATAATTCCTGGAATACCTGATAAAAATTAACCGAGTGATTTTTTGGCCAAGTCGGTTAAACTCACAATAGATTCAATAATTTGATATAAACTCTTTCTATAACGAACCCTCGATTCTGGACCAAAAAAAAAGCCCACTATAACAAATTACCATGTTTTCTTAAGAACCTATTAAAAATTTAAAAATTTTGAGTACATTATATCCAGAACCAGAGTTGACTGATACATAATTTAAGATCAAATGACTAATATAAATATCAGAAACGAGTGCCGTCAAGGGAATAGATTGCATCCAGTATAAAGTAAAATTGAAAGCTCGGTGACAGGTTTTCTCTTGACGGCACTCATATTATAGGACTACATATGTATGCATATCTTTGGTTGAAGAAATATGATACTTTCAAACATCGCTGGAAAAAGATTTACAATTTAAAAAATTGACAATCGGGTTTTCAAACACTTTCAATGATATGGATATATTGAAAAATTTCCGTCGTTTTTAGGAAACTATGTTTATTAAACACGAACGATATAAAATGTTTAACTTTTTAACATTAACACCTATTCGTGTAATATGTTCTTATAAAAATTATGTATATTTGGAGCCGCTTTGTCAAGACTTATTAGTTGACAAGAACGCACATACTAAACATATCAAACATGTCAGAAAAGAGTTCCAAACGAAAAAAATTTGATAACATTGATATTATTGTTATAACGATCTGTCAAACAATCATTAATAATACAAAATAACTTTTATTATATCAGCCGAAAAATCATTCGAAACAGCTGTAAATAATGTGCCAGCTTAAGCTAACTTACTTAAGCCGGCTTGAGCCAACTTACTTGAGCTGGCTTGAGCCATCAGCTCGAGCCTGCTCGGATTGGCTCAAAAGCCAGGCCGAGCTTGCTCAAGCCGATCCCATCCCTAAATATAATGGATTAATCAATCATCATATATTGAGACGACAAACTAAACATGTATCTAACAGTATAATGTTTTTGTTCTCCTTCAACAGTTGGCATTAATGGTTGAGGATCTGTGATATAAATAGAAAGAATTGGAAATGCTGAGTTTCTATGCATGAAATATTGTAATTCTAAGTTTAAGTGAATATACTAACTTTCTGTAATTAGATCATGAGAACTTGGTACTGATTTTATGGAAAATCTTAATCGCATATATTCTGAACTTAGTGGGTTGTCTTTATCCAACGAAGCTTCTAATATGAAATGATCTAAGAGAAGTTTACATATTTCTGCATTCATTTAAAAAGGAAGCTTAAATTAGAATGTATCTTTTGATAATATATATAATATTAGGGTTGTTAATGGAGTGCACCAGTCCATAATAAAACATATAACCCACTCCGGAGCACTCCAGAAGTGGGTTATATGTTTTAATATAGTCTGGAGCACTCCAGTAGCGACCCAATGTCATGACAAATAAAAAATTACCTTCTATATCCTCAATTTTACATAAAAAAACGGTATACCATGGTATGCTTCCTTTACTTTCAGGAAAATTTTCTTTATGCAACAATTTTGATGCAAGGAGTATTGATGCAGCGGCTAAAGCATTCGGCGGAAATCTCAGGCAAAGTGTTGTTTTGTAACTAGAATTAAAGAAATAGTTTAAATGATATGGATATCAAGTTGTAAAAAAAAAAAAAAAAAAAAAAAAAAAAAAAAAGAGTATCTCATGTGTATTCTTACCACTCATTGAGAATGTTATACGCCTTAACCGCTAGGAATTTATCACCTATATTCACATAAAATTTTAGACATTAATTCATAGGTAGCCAAAGAATAGGTTCTTACTAAGGATGAAAAAAAACCAGTTTTAAGCACTTTTTCCCCGATTTAAAACAGGTGATGATTAAAGTCTGAATAGTTAAATTTGTTTTTAATTTTATTAAGAACATAATCATCACCCGTTTTTAATTACGTTATAAAAACATTTTCCATCCCTAGTTCTTACCTTTTAATTTCTTTACAAATTTCATGAGCAATTGATGAGGTGGCCAAATGTGAAAATCAAAGCAGATCGTCTCTACGACTAAACGCTCAATTTGAATTACTCGCCGTCTTTGTTCTTCAAACATCTACCATAATCAAACATAAATATTAATGAACAAATAAAAGGCTATCGGTTAAAGGCTGATTGTTAAGTCTTAAATAATACCTGATTTTCGCCATTAACATCAGTAAGTTCAGGATGTCGAACTTTATAAGCTTCTACTAAAATATCTCGAAGCTTTTTATAGGTTTCTTCAATCTTTGTTGCAACAAACAAGCACGTTATACTTAGATCCTATTTCAAATTAATCAAAAGTTTAGATCTCGTCAAGAAATATTCAACTAACACTCAAAAGATCAGATAGCTTTATAATATTGGATATTCACAGATTTTTGATTTGCCGTAGAAAAATCTTTCTCCGGATGAAATAAGTAAAATCGATTAAACAGTATTTGGGCGGTAGTAATAGTATTTTGTGGACTACAAAACCAGGTAAAAGAGAAAGAAAAATTCCACATCATTTATCAATATAGTCTATAATAATTTTATTGTTTACTTAAACACTCTGTTAGCAATCAAAAAGATAACTTTATTGAATTAATAAAATGAAATTACAATCCCAATTTATTCCCAACAGCAACAATAAAACTACACCATTGTGCACGTGATTTGTTCTCTTTAGAATTCGAAAGTCCTCGTATCTGTTGGCTCTGGCTAATTTCAGCTAAAGTAAAGTACGATCTCGCCTTACGTTCAAGTACAAAATATCGTTCCATTACACCTTCTGTCGGACTTGAATTTGCTGTTACGCTATTCATATCTGCGGGTGAATTAGTATTCGAAGACATTATGGTGCTAGTATACATGGGTGTCAAAAATATTTTGCTCTTGGCGTAAATTTAAATGACGAAAATGATTATGACTAGTCGAAAATGTTAAAATGTCATTTTTTTGTAGACCCATATGTGCTCCGATCACAAAAAATGTGATTACAAAAATTAATAAATTAATTGGACAATATTTGTATGATCTATCCGTGATTACCCGTGATAATTAACCAATCAAATTACATAATTTTTTAAAAGTTCATCGCTCTTAAAAAAACCATATCAAAAAACTTTCTTTATTATGTATATTTAGAGAATAGATTGATACACGTAAAGTAGAAAAATGTGATATTTATTATTAAATTATTAAAAAATTTACATAATACAGTAATGTACTAACTCAACACTACAAAGACCGACAAATCTAAGCACTAAGCCTAAATCTTTTGTCACTAAAGAGCCTGTACTTATTCAAACTAAACAGTTAGGAATAAAAGTTTATTTGAGTCTAACGTCTTAGCAAAAAACGTTCCAATTATCTTATTTTACAGTATAACTTTACACGGTTCAATAGACGACAGTAAGTTTGTCTTCTAAATAAAGTCTCTTAATTTTGAGATTATATTCCAAAGATATGGATGTGTTGAAAGACTTCCGCCACTTGTAAGAAAACCATGCCCACTAAGCCTGAATGATACAAAATATTTTAGGGCTTTAATGGAAGAAAGCCTGACTGGTATTTTTATGAATTGCAATCAGAGATGAACTTTGGTTTTTAAAATGTACATAATACGTCACTATCTACGTAAACAATAACCGTTACACTGATCAATATTTTATCGAATCGGCCAAATAATCATCCGGTCAATTTTTTACCAGATGTCCCAAAATTTATAACAGCTGTAATCGTTTTTTAATTATATTTATAAGTCAGGCCGAGCCGACAAGATTCCTAAGGCCATTATTTGGTGGCTTTCTTAATACAGTAAATGGAAAGTTCACCACTTTTACCGATTAGAGAGAATGTTATAAATATCTCTGATCGAAAATTTTACAACACTCTAGGGCTTGGAATCCTTTGCGTTTGCATTGTATCATATGTTATACAGACAGTACGTTGTTTAGTTGTGAAGTCTAACGTACTCGAGAATCATATTTAATGCAATTTTTTTGACATAATGAACAGGAACTGGCACAATCAATACAAACTGAGAAGAAATTTCATAATCCATACTTTATATTGTAAGTTACATAAAAATCTAATTCTTAATTATTTGATCTAATTAATATTTCAAATCAAATATTTTCAAATCAGGTGGGTTGCACACAGCTGCTGGGTGATAGTGATACCATTTCAATTTGCGTTTCGACCGAATTTTCAGGAATATATGGCAGAATTTATTAGAGTTGGCAGTGAACTAGTTAGTAAAATCAGTCCAGTACGTCAAATAAATTACATAGATACAGAAAACGAAGAAGACGGTGTTGTACAAGTATTTTTACCTGTACCTCACAAGTATTTCTTAGCGTTCATTTTCAAAATTTCCTCTTTCTCTGCAATTGCCCTTTGCACTGTAGGATATATTTGGTTTGTAGCTGTTAACTATACTACCATGGCTAATCTAACAGCAATATACAACACTAGCTGTTTTTGGGCATATATTTTCTCAGTATTTTTACTGGGTGAATCAATAAAAATAGAAAAAGTTGGCTCCGTATTGTTAAGCATCGTAGGTGTTATAATCATGACAATGAGTCAAAAGGATCAAACACCGGGATATGATGCCGGAGGGGACTCTGAGGTGGGTGGCAATGGCATCATTTTTACAGGAGATTTAATCGCTTTGTTTGGAGCAGTCACTTATGGGCTATATGAGGTGCTATATAAGAAGTATGGAAGTCCACCAACCCCTTCGATTTCATTTTCAAACACTATCACAGGTTTAATTGGTATATTCACCTTAACTTTTCTATGGGTGCCCATTCCCATCTTACACTATATGGGAATAGAAGAGTTTTGTCTTCCAGATATGAAGACTTTTGGTTATATTTTATTCATGGCTTTGTTCGGGGTTGTTTTCAATGCATGTTTTATGTTAGTAATTGCTTTAACATCACCTGTCTTTGCTTCTGTTGGGTTAATGCTGACCATTCCTACAGTAGCATTTGTAGATGCGCTGGTAATTAAATCCCCGTTAAGTGCAAGTACAATCGTTGGTGGTTTATGCATATTAATATCATTTGTTTTATTAAGCTGGAAAAGTATCATAGGTGAGATAGAAAGGCATAGAATAGATTAAATCAGAGATAGAAAGACATAAATCAGATTAAATCTAAGCTTGTTGGTGAAACTATATAACACAGTTGCACCAACCTTTATTTATCACCAATCATCATCCACTATTGGTGATATTTGTGGTATTGGTATATTTGTGGTATTGGTAGTATTGGTAGTATTGGTAATATTGGTAGTATTGGTGGTAATGGTAGTATTGGTAATATTGGTTACAATTGAATTATAATATTATATATATATAATTCAATAAATTAGTTATAATTATTTTATTAAATTTTATAACTAGTAAATCAAATATTATTAGCTTTAGTAAAACCTTTAGTAAATAAACTTTTAATTAATTATTTGTAAATAATTTTGTTTGTGAATTAAGCTTTTTATAAAATAATCGTTAGTAAATAATATGAATTTTTTTAAAGATATTTTTAAGCATTTTATTCAATAAATCAAAAACAAATTTTTAATAGTTAAAAATTAAATAAATTAATTAAAGATATTTTTAAACCTTAATCTTAATTAGCTTATGATCATAATTTTGTATAACTATAATTTTATTTATATAAAATTTTTAATAATAGTTATAGAACTAGATAAAATCTGTATTATAAATTAGTAAAATCTACTATATAAATTATATTAGAATAAAATTTGTGTTTAACTATGTTTTTATTATACAAAAGTAAATTTTACTATATTTGATATGATTTATGTAGCAAATTTTACTAATTTACAATGCAGGTTATATCCTATTATATACAGTATACTCTCTCAAAACTGATTATATCAAAACTAATAATCTGTTATATTTAATAAAAATTGATCTACCATGTCTATTCTATAATTTAAATCTATTAATCTGCTATTTCTAATAACTGATACTCAAAAGATCAAATACTTATAAGATATCAGGTTTGTCAGATATTATAAATTAATTTAATTAGTTCAGATCAAGCTTTGTAAAACTAAATAGATATATAATAAACAAAATCTAGCTAATTATATTTATTTATAATTATGTAACCAGTAAGTTATTAGTATCTTAAACCTAATAACTTCTTAAAACTGATATAATAGTTGTCAACCATGCCTATTAGATTTAAGAGAATATATTATATTAATTAATTAATTAATTAAAATATTTAAAAATATTTAAAATTAATTTTATTACAACACTTTCCAATAATTACTTGTATTAACCAATTGCTGAAAGCAAGTTGAAGACTTAAAACCAGAAGTTAACAACAACTTGAAGTTTTTTTTAATATGAGTGACAATCTGTGAAAATCTGTAAATCGATTCACAATCATTCACTATGCCAAACTTGACCTCTGAAAAATCTGATCTCACATGATCAATTACGATTAATTCTAGCAACATATTTGTACTGATACTTTTACGTAGTATGTATTGGTATTA